ATCTAGTTTTGTAGGTAAGATTTTGGGGCTAAATGAGGAATCTAGGAGTGAACAAGCCGAACATATAGGGATAAGTCTACTCTGATGATACAATACGGAGAGGCCAATACAGAAACTTCAAGTTATGGCATGAACACATGACATTTTCGGATCTGTGATTCGTTTAAAATGCTAAAGTACTAGTACTAAAATTTTCCCATAATGACAAGTTGGTTACACGCTTCCTACGAATTTCACATCACCTCGATACCGAAAAGAAATTCAAATGCAGTCATCCGTCGCCTCAACTAATGATGGTGATTACATCTCATGTGCATGATCTACTGGTAGTCTGGAAACAATTACAAACGAGAATTTAGATCAAACTTCCTTAACATGGCGATTAAATATTGGTGGTTTGGTAATTTCGCAAATGACCAATCAACAATTTTAAATTCGGACGACTTAGCTCGACGAAGATGAGGCCCACAAGTTGATACACAAAAGAACAAAATAAAACAAAAACGTAACAGGTATTTTGGCAACTGTTGCTGATAAGAGATACTTTACAAAGGTCGCATTTTGATTGATGTTTAGCCCAGGCTGAAGTGAAGATAATTGAAATATTTAATAGGATTGAAAAATTAATTGGAGAATAAGTAAAAGCAGTCAAGCTAACCTCTCGATAAGAGCATCTCGGGCATACGTCGTAAATGGTTCATTATTCTCCCTGTCGAGCTTATATATCGATTCGATGACCTATCAAAGAAAATAAGTAATAAAATAGGATATTAAACCCGTGTTAAGGTATTAGAGCAGGGCCATTAGTTATGCGCATACAAACCTGGATCTCCGTGCTAGTTGTTTCCAGGCCACAGAAAGCGGCCCAATCATTTACAACTAGACCTGCGGAAATTAAAGAGCTCCCACGATTAACGGTCCCAGCCGTTAACGGGAGCTGAAGAAGACTACTAAGCTGATCTAATTCATCAATGCTCGTTCGTGGATGTAATAAACCACCCCGATTTGTTAACACACAATAAGTGCCAACAAGGGTCTGGCCAGCGACGACACCACGAAAGACTTCTACGTTTAGTACATCACTGATTATTTCTTCAGTATCCTTTAGAAAAAAGCAGTTTAAAATGTACGAGACTTAAAATACAACCTAGTTTAGCTCATTTAATCAAGAATGAATTGGGTCTTGCCTTATCGAGTTCTGGATGTATAAGAGCAACATAATCGTTGCAAACTATAATATTCCCCAGTGCTGACAGTCTTTCTTCAATTCTAGACACTCTAACCTTATCTGGGATTGAATTTGTCAAATTGATCAATTCTTGGTCTGTCGTCGTATTCGGCAAAAGTAGACCATATGTGTTTCCTGAGCTTAGTAAGGATGAAAAAATGCAAAATACCAACAGCCAGACAACCTATCGTTCGTATACCAGCAATACTAGAGTGGATCACGGGTATACTGTCCGCTAGCTCTGCTTCAAACACACTGATCAATTAAGGCAATGATTAGGAAACCTGTAAAAATTCTCCGATGCACCAATTGCAACAATACAATAATTATTTGTCAATTTAGAAAATACTCCAATGTCATTATGGCCCTCGAATTGTGCTCTGAGCGCCATATGTATCCACGAAGATGAAAGTCCAAGAAAAATATGACAAACAAAAGCTCGTTGCAACACGCAGAGAGCAATGAGCGCGGGAGCTCGTGAAACCAATACAAAATTGATAGGAAATTGCAATTACATGAAAAAGTTATAGTTTTGGTTTAATAATT